GCGCCCCAGTCTCTGTGCCCTGTGCTGTACTGGCATCCTGTCCAGGGCGCGCCCCAGTCTCTGTGCCCTGTGCTGTACTGGCATCCTGTCCAGGGTGTGCCCTAACCCTAACCCTAACCCCAGTCTGCCCATCTAATCTCCCAGGTCCTCCCCCCGACTACACTGGTTACTTCAACATATCTAGCTATTGTCAGTTAACTGGCACATTTTTCACCCTTTATTCTGCTATTTTATTATTGTTTACATACACACTGCACGTTGTACATAAACCCCTGAGTCAGCCCGTCTCACACGCCTGGCTTTTTTCATTTTAAGTCCTGTGCAAACCTTCCCCTTGGCGCTGTCTGTATGTCGCGCCGTGGTACAACGGGAACATTTCTGCACACCACCTTATACCAGTATAGGGATGTATGATAATAAGATCCACTTGTCTGTCCAGTGAGTATTTCATTGTGCTGAAAAAATCTGTTTGGAAAATACTTAAGAAAAAGATGGCTATGAAATAAAATGTATTTAATATTGAGGAGGCATCCCTTCCCGGATTTACCGCGTCTTGTGCCCTGTACTGCCTGGAACACGGACCAGGCACTTTGTAACCTGGTACTGGATAAACAGCATAGACAGTGGATGAGAATCATGCATTAGCGTAATAAAACGCATGAGAAACATACCACTGAAATATACTGCAAAACACTGCCAGAAAGACAGATACAATGTGGTAACATAATGGAAAACATGAATCATTATAGTTATTTCCTTCTGATTTTTAAATTCTATTCTCAAACCACAAGGTCTTAAAACACTAAAATTAACTAGTGAATTAAACAGCTCTAAGACTAATCAAACGTTGGGGAAAACAGCTATACAGTGAAGATACCAAAGTCCAACTATTTAAACTGGCTGTAAGCCATAGCCTACATACTAGAAAAATCATACAAATGAATTCCTTTAAAAATGTTTTCTCTGAATTGTGATCATGGTGGAATGCGGATACAAATTTACTTGCATGAACATGAATGAACAAAAGAAGCAAAGTTCAGAGTGTTTATTAGACCATAAAAATGACATCTGTACACGCGTATGAAAATCAAACCCAAGCAAAGGAAAGCAAATTTTTGCTTAAATCAATAAAAAAACACTTTTTATCATACTACACTCATACCCACTAGTTTCTAGCGAAAAGATGACTGCATTATTCAATGCAACTTTATATAAGGAACTCAAGGAATATTCTCCATGGAGTAATTACCGTACCTATAAAATGCTACTTCGTTTCAAGCACATACCAGCTATTGGGAGAAAGGTCGGATAGATAATAAGTTTGCAATGACACCCTGTTTTTTTTTTTTTTTTACTGACCATCGATATTAAGTATTACTGAAAATTTCATAGACAAGCATTCCAAAATAAATCACATGGATATGCAGTGCAGAATTTTGGTTGTCATCTTATTTAGATATATACAGCAACTGTAACCAGGTGAATTCAGAGTCGCCAAATTGTCGGGAGATGTGAATGTGCGTGTGTATGCCCCTGCGACCAGTTGGCGCCCCATCCTGGGTTATTCCCTGCCTTGCACTCATAGGCTCCAGACCCCCAGTCATGTTTCTGTCCTGGGACCTGTTAGGACACATCCGCAGAAGTCTTCACAATTTGCCCTCATGGATCTTTATACCCTGTGATAAGAATTGTCAATTTGCAGGACAGGTGGATCATGCCAACTTTCCATCTTCTGCAAGCTCCTGTGGGGACCAGAGGCAGCAGTAACGATGTGCTTTTCGGGGTATTGGGATAGAGCCCATGTGTGTCCCTTTGGTCCATCTTCAGTACCATTGATTTCAAACGGTTGTCTACTGGATTCTGAGGACAGGCCTTGGAGGGGACTATAGCCCTCTTCACAGGGAGCGAGACTGCACCCCTTAGCAGGCTGGCCAGCGTATGCTGGGTTTATGCTGCAGATTAACAGGTCTTCAGTGATCTGATCCACACCGAATGGCTCAAGAGATGAACCGGCTCCTACCTGTTTGCCATTACTGATGGCATTATTAAAGCTCTGATAGTCATCATCCGCTCTGAACAAGTGAGGGGGCGGAGTCAACAACTCCAAGTCAGCATCCAACTTAGACGAACAGGTGGAAGGAGTTTCTGCATCTTGGGGTGTAGTTACAGCACTGCTGTCACAGGCTTGATACTCTGAGTCTGTGAGCAAGAGTGGAAGTAAGACAGGGGTACTAGTAGGTGAGACAAAACCTTGCAGATTCGCTGGCGGAACCTTCAAAGCCTCACTGTCGTTAGAGTGATAGTCCTCGATGAAGGTGCAGGCAATTGGGGACTTGAAGGAATGTGAGGGCTTTTCATTCATCACTAGCTCGTGGTTGCCACTCCCTCGCAGTGAAGAAACCCAAGAGTAGGAGATGTTTTTGTACTGTGAGTCACAGGAGCTCGCTGAACCCTCAGGGCTGCTTGGAGACAGGTTTCCAGACGAGCCACTCTCCTTCCTTGGCGTGACGTCTACGTTTTTGTAGCAGCCATCCGTTCCTAGGTCAGATATAACTGGCATGGAAGCTTTAGGAATGAAAATGTTAAAAGCCTCCTCAAGAATTTTTTGCATTACACTTCCCGGAACAGTCGTCCCCTGGGATATGGAGTAAGTACGGGCATAGTCTGATTGCGAGGATCCTTCAGAGTTCAGAAGATTCTTGGGATATAAGCCTTCTTCCTTATCACCACCAACAATCAGATGAGCTTTCCTGTTGGGGAAATATAAGAAGCTCAATTAGATTTGTGTAGGAGGCCAGCATAATACAATATGTCTTGCATATCTGAATCTGCAGCAGTACTCATCCAGAGTTTTCCATGTGGACTCGGAAGTGTCTCACCATGGCTGATCAATTATGTCAAACTGCTGATTGAAGTCCGCAGTCTCAGGTTTAAGCACCTGGGAGGAACAACGTAGTGAGAAGTAAAAAAACTCATCAGAAACGTATGGGACAATTCATTCATATTGTTGAGACCAGACACAGTTAAGATATCACTGAATTTCTCAATGCTTGTTTTCTTGGCAAGGCACTTAGAGGATAACTTACCACTGGTTTTCCAACAGTCATGCTTTTAATGTGTGCTTTGTAAGGGTTAGGAATTTTATCCCACCACCTGTCCTTCATCCTGTGGATTGAAAAGAAGAAAAGCTTTAAGCATCAATGAGACTATATTTGGCCACAAATACAGATGCATAGGAACTCCTTCATTTTCAAAGCACCCCATATAACTCCACAGTGCGAAACAGACATACATGTACAGTAGGTGACAGCAATGCTTGGCAGACAGAAATGCATCTAGTGCTCCTGGAGCAAATTTTGGGGTAAATAGCTCGCACATGGGCCCAACAGAGGTATATGGTATACACACACACACACACTCGCTGACTGTGGGATTTGAACCAGCAACCTTCCGATAACGGGCACAACTCTCAGAGCCCACGCCCTGACCCATGACCGTGAGGTTAGCTGCTAAAGATGTCATTCGTACCTCATGTATACAGAAACGGTCATTCTCTCAGATGCAAAGCAGAACAACATAGCATGACCAGTGGGATGGAGGGCGTGCTCGTCATATTCTTACCTCAGCAGGCACCAGTACAGAAAAGCGAGGATGACGATGAGGGCCACACACAGACTAGGGATGGTGATTTCCAGAATCCTTTCGAACGACAAAGCTATGGAGGCCACACACATTTTACAACAACAGTGAGAACGGTAGCTAGTTTCACAAAAACACTCATGTTTTACAAATACTTAATTCTGCAGCAGGCATAAAGAACATTCTACATTTTTAAAGAAGTAATAGAGACAGGAAAAGACAACAAAATAAAGTGATTAATCTATACACCGATTATGGTTTCCATGGGAGAAACATTTCCTTGTTATTATTTGACTTACGTTCAGTCCATTCTCTCTCATGGCTCCAGTCGCTGAATTCAGTTTTGTAGAAAAGCGAAAATGATCTCACCCTCACCACATAAACGGCGCCTTGCTCGAGTGTGCTGCTTAGTATCACAACATTTGTCTGGGATGTATTGGTCATGTTCTACAGCAAAAGGGCATCAGTTAACATTTGTTTATTTAGCTGAATTGTTTTGCAGAATCAGGTATGGCTACATGGACTAATTCAAGTGTCCATAAATTCTACTTTTTTGTAATAAAGGGCACAAGACCATTCTGAATCACTGTGGATCTAAGATCCACGCAAGTGTGGTACTCTTATGAAACAACTTACAGCAGTGTATTTTTTTGAGGTGGAATTACAAAAATGTGGAATATTCTTTTAAAATAGCAATAATAATAAAAGGATCTTCAGCTGTGGCATTTGTGGGTTAGCACTGGGAAGCAAAAGGCTTCAGCTACACTACCTTGTCTTCCTCTCCTTTCTTTTTGTAGCAAACCTGATACTTCACGTACTCTGACTTCATTCCATAACTTGACTTCCACATAACATCATAATTCCCATTTTCTTGCCGGATAAAAGAAATTATTTCAGGAGCATTTGGTTTGACTGCAGAAGACAGGGTGAAACATTTTATGGTCATTAGCTGTTAAAATAGTTGACTTGACTGTATGACACCATCCTTTCTAACTTTACAGTTCATTACAATTCCTTGCATTTAATAATGACAAACAGCATTAGATGGAATATCACATATTGCAATCAAATACCACATCAGTCACATATTCTACAAAACAGGCAGCTATGTCAAGTAAACAGCATTTTAAAAATGTAACAAATACAAAATCAACAACAACAAAAAAATGGGCTTAATTCGATTTTGATTGCATGCCAGCACTCAAATAAGGCTTCAGATCGACTTACTGTGGGATGATGGAATGTATTGCTTTGAATAAATTGACTTATTTCCTTCTAGTAAATCCAACTGATATTCTTCCGAATAGACAAATGGAAGCATTTGTACCGTGCAGCTGCACATCCCTGCCATGTTGTTCATGAAAGGACACTTGTAACTTTCACTATGTAAAAAAAAAAAAGACACATGGATTTGATCAAATTTTAGGTGCATGTGAAACAGAGCCAGAGATAAAAATAAAGCACACACACTCAAATATAAGATGTTTCTTAAAGTAGAAAACTAAAGAGGCTGCAATTTGAGGTGAATAATTTAAAAAGTTACAGGTATGCCTAGACAGGACGGTGACTCAGTGTTACACTGTTGCCTGAGACCCCCAGGGCTGCATGCTTGAATCTCATTGCTGCTCTGTGTGGAGTTTGCATGTTGTCCTTGTCATGTACTTTCCTTCCACAGTCCAAAAACATGCAGTTAGGCTAAGGGGCGTCTCTAATTCGTCTGTGGAGTATGAATGTCAATATGTGCCCTGCGATGGACTGGCATCCCGTCCAGGGCGTAGCCCAGCCACGGGCTCTGTGCGCTTGTTACGGACCCCAGACCTCCCCACAACCCTGGCCAGGTTTAGCACTTAAACATGAATGGGTGTTTTTTCCAGCCTCTTATTCAGTACAGGCTAACAGTGAGCCTGGGTTCTTTCCAGCCTCTTATTCAGTACAGTACAGGCTAACAGTGAGCCTGGGGCCGAACCAGGAAGTGCAGCACACAAGTCAGGGGCTGTCCTTTCCTAGGGGACTCCCACAGAGGAACTAGGGCGGGAATAAAAGCCATACGCCAGGAAGGATGAAGTCACAGTGCCACCATGTTCCTACTCTACAAAATGTTGAAAACATTTAGAAAATGTGTGAAAACAAACCAAATTTGTCTTGTAAAACTCACCCATCATCAAGTTTAAATTCAGCGGTATATATGCTACAGTTTGAGGTTTTGGGGGAATCCAGCGTGCAATTCATTGTTGTTATATAATCATTTTTGCATGAAAGCAGTGGTTCTGTTGCAGGAACAAAATGAAAATCAATCAAAACATCATTTCCCCAGCTGAAATGTTTATTATTATTATTATTATTATTATTGTTGTGCTTGTTGTTGTCATAAGAATGAAGCAATAACTGTAACTGGAACACAGCACAAGGGAAACATCACAAATAACTGTTTAGAGAATAAAATATCCATTATATTTTTATGTATTTTTATCCATATGTTTATACGTGGCTGGTGAAAGACGGCTGATTTTGCCTCTTAATAATTATACAGTACGAGCGACAGGGTCCAAGAATATAAAATAAAAGGGCATTTCAATCGGGAACCCTTCACCGTTCTTGTAATATAGCACAATCACAAAACCATATAAAACAAACTAAACGTGACATTATTTCCCCCATATTAGTAACCACGAAGTGTTCCGATTGTTTCAGGCAGTCGTCAAGACAACTAGACTTGAATTAGTGCACGACTTAAATATATGTAAACCGAAAACAAAACTACTGCAATACTGCATTGTGCAATGAGGGTAAAAAACACTAATAAATTTTTAATACCATTTATGCATAGCAAAACACAAGATAACCTATGCAGATGAAAGAAAAAAACAACATAAATGATGATGATGATAATAATAATGTATTAACTTACCAGAAGAAAAGGTGGAAATAAATCCCGCGAAGAATAACAGAACAAATAAGCTCGTCTCTGACATATTGATATCTGTCTTTGAACCAAAGTAAAATGCTGGGGAAAAAACAATGTGACGTAGTTAGATCCTTAACATAACCACTTTCGATTGTATATCTTATCAAGGAAGAAAACGCTGGAATTACGAAACTCCATTTCCCTGAAAAATATTTCCTGGAAAAAACAACTATGGTTTCTAAGATATATTTCACATCCTTAAAAATTACTCCGGTAAATGAGAAAAGTTAACATATGTAAGAACACATTATCGTCAGAAAGGTTAGAAGCATACCACAAATAATAGTAATAATTCCATATTTATATTTCATTGCTTTAAATCCAGACACAATAAGAACACAATTTTTTAAAACTAACCTTAAGTGGTTGTGTTGAGCCTACATAAAACAGTCACCCACATTTCAAATGCGTCGCGACGAAATATACATAATTTATGATTTCCGCAGCTTGTTCACGAAGCTCTTTACACGCAACATTCTGAAGTTCCACTGAAGTTCAGCGAGCATTGCGTTGAGATGGTGGGAGGATCCTGGGCCATTACGGGAATCTCTGTTTCACAAGGTTGACGCCCATGAAGTACATTGAGGAACGTGACAGGGATAACAGAAAAAGCCAGAGGATCTGGTCGTACGCTACAATACCAGAAGTAACCAATGCTAACAAAAATAGTCTTAATACACCCATAGTATCATGCCGTTGTTAAAGTACAGTAAATAAAAATTAAACCGACATCAATCAAGCGTGCTTGTTAAAGACTTTTAAAACATTGTATTGGAGTTACTATGACGTATTTCCCATTAGTATTGTGGCTATGATTCAGTAAGACCAGCTCAGGTTCATGACACATCCTGGTCCTGCAGGCACAGGTGAAGGGAAAGCAGGATGTATATTTGGGGGGAGGGGAACATGGGGTAGATGAGTACGACACGACCTCACACAACGTCACGCAAGAAATGCTCAATGCACTGGGACCAGCTCAGGTCGAAGCTAACATATAACAAGCAGGACGGAGCTATCAAGCTGTCAAGCAGGGCAATTACCAGTTACCACTACGAGGGGATAGACTAGGCAGGGTTAAGGATAGCACGAAGAGTTTTAGTTTTAGTTTTAGTTTGTGTACTTTTTGCTTAATATAAATGTAAATCTTCAGCAAAGATGTGACGCTTATTTTACGTGGGAATGAAAAGAAACAATCCATCAGCTCAGTTTGGGTCTGCATAACCTGCAATCAAAAATAAATAAATCATAAAATACAATACGTCAACTTCATTCCTATACCCTTTGTCCCTTAGGCGTATATCATGCATTGTTTCAAGGTAACCCAGAAACAGCAGCGATATCTATAAACAATTATATCTTGCCATTTTATAGGCATTTAAATAACTGAATAATAAATGAATAGATATTATAGATATACAGACTTTTTCTTAGCTAAAATGCAAGGACCTTTAAAAATGAAACAGTATAAAGCCATGCAAAGTTGGGGATAGATCGATCCTGATCGCGTTTTGTGTTTATTGTTAGTCATAGGTTGGTATACAGTATAGTGAGCTGTGTCAACGTGGTTTAAGTGGAAATAGTTTTAACATAAACATATTGAATTGAATCAAATTTATTTACTTAAATAGTTTTGCGCAAATATGCCAATGTTCAAAATTATGAATATAAGCGGAAAAAGAATTTGCAAGTTGAATTTATCCGAATTAGACTGTACATAATTATGCAAACCATTTAGATTTCTGTCTGTTTTCTTGTTAGTGTGTCCAAGTTACAATGAATTAATGCACTGACATACTTCCTTACACAATAAACTGTGGTTTAGGATCATGTTTTTAAATTATTCTGAATATTATTTGATGTGTTACTGCAACGCCTGTTAAGGTTTGATTATATCTAATTAATCAACTTTTCAAAAAGCCCTGTGAACAGAGGCTAGCGTTGTGTCACCAACCAGATGGTCATGAATCTGTCCATTTCCAGACATACAACTGGAGAACACTTCATACGGGACTACATCTGCTCGCAGTTTGAATACACCAAAGCGAACAGGTAGTCAGCCAAATCTGTAGGGGGCAGTAGCGCACATGGAAGGCTTCAGTCTCACCGTTTACTATATTTACACAAGGAAGACTGAGCAGTAGGTCTGAGAATGCATTAGTCTTTAAATCCTTACATTTTCAAAAGTCGTGGACTGGTTTTGGTAAGATTTAGTTTTAGAGATTTGCTAATATACTGGAAACCACCGATTTAGTGGAAGTTACATCGGTTGGAAAATTTGTTTTAAAAGGCCCCTTTTAGCACAGAAGATGCTAATACACTAAATACGTATGTGTTTTGATAGATAGTGCACCTGTTGAATTATCTTGTTATGAAAATCGTCATTTCTTTCATGCAGGCCTTTATTTGCAGTAGTGTACCTTCGGAGGTTGTCATTTTGAGTGTACGTTTACCTACGTTTACATACTGTTTTTTCGGTTGCAGTTCTTTAGAGGCGCGAAATCATGGCTGGAAGTTTGTCAGACTGTCACCGCAGGTTCCTGCAGTCTCTGATGTGTAATGGGATCATTGTCCGGTCCAAAGCCATCGCACTGCATCGGAATTGCTGCGAGGTGCACAATAGTAAGAAAAAATACATCGCGCTCTCAGTCTCCGGTCATCTGCGTGTATAATATACCAGGGTTTCCAGCCTTGGTCTGCTGGCTGGAGTGAGATTTTCAATTCGACAAATCTGCACACACACGCATACGCATTTGCTTGCATGTAACAGTTTTATTACCTTGTAAATAGTCTGTAGGGTTTGTAAACTACTCCAACGCTTTTGATGTAGCTAATTTTAAGTTTACAATGGAATAATAAAGATTTGCCGTAAGATTTCTTGCGTGAGCGTGAGAATCTGAAAGCGTGTCACGCCAGATGCATGAGTAGGCAACCCTGTCGTAGTGTAATGATGGAGCGTCGCTAGTGATTTATGAAAAGGGGCTAAGTTTTTAGTAGGGGGCATGATTTTAATAAATGAGAATTCACTTTTTATACTAGTGTGCCCTTTGTGTGCATGCACTAATTAGGTAAATGTCTGATAAATGTGCTACTTATTCTCTCTCCGCTGGGATCTAAAAGCTGTGCTCATACAGTGTATGATATAAAGCAATATTTTTTGTGTTCAAAAATATAATTTCACCTATTTTGTTGTAGCCATATGATATATTCTTAGATCTGTATCTTTTTATTAATGTATAAATTAGCATCAGTTTCCTTGATTTTTAATATTGTGGGGTTTTTTTTTTTAATAATATTTGATCTTAAGCATGGCTCTCTTAACTCTTTGCTAATGCAGCACATTACACACGCGATGGACTGGATGAATTTATTGATCTCATCAACTCTCATCTGGAACCACTGTTCATGCAGATCCGGAAATCTGTGTCCGAAGAAGATGGTCTTCAGTATTATGCTTTGGTTAGTTGGGGCGGGTAGGCATTTGCCTGTCTGAATGATTTCTTAAGAGCTGTTCATATGAATGCAATAAACATTTAAATTTAAGAAGACAAATTGTTACAGAGAATCATGATCTCAATTCGAAGCAAAACAATTACGATTCACAAACTAGTAGGACTATATTTCTAAATGTGAGACTTCAGCATGTTTTATGTCCTTTCATCATATTTTATATTTGCTCACAAATCTCTTTCCAAGGCTAGATTGGGAATTTGTGATAGAAATACAAGTGTTTGCTATAAAGAACATAGTGTCTCAGATTGAGTTTCACTTCCTTATTTGAATTTGATAATTGTTATTGTTTATTAGTGGTATTTAATTCAGTTAAAATATGCTTCAGTGGCTTGACTAACATTACTAAAGCCTCAGTGACACTTATCACCGGAGTACTGATGGCATTTAACAGTAAAGAAAACTGCACTACATAGTGTCCGAGTCCTAGCTCAGTAAAGAAAACTGCACTACATAGTGTCCGAGTCCTAGCTCAGTAAAGTAAGCTGCACTGCAGTGTCCGAGCCCCAGCTCAGTAAAGAAAGCTGCACTGCATAGTGTCCGAGTCCCAGCTCAGTAAAGAAAGCTGCACTGCATTGTCCGAGTCCCAGCTCAGTAAAGAAAGCTGCACTGCAGAGTGTCTGAGTCCCAGCTGCTTTGACAGCTGTGTTTCTTCTTCCTCAGGTGAATATGGCTGAGACAGACATAACCAGGATGTCTTCTGATTATGCCGACAATGAGCTTGAGCTTTTTAGAAAAACGGTGAGTGCAGATTCTGGTTATATTTCCTGGTTATTATCCACTGGAGCATGTTTGTCTATTGTTTGCTGTGGGGGGGGGTATATGGCTCTGTGGGTTAGGACATTGTTCATGTGATTGGAAGGTCATTGGTGCAAATCCCCTGGTAGGCAGAGTGACATCACTGTCGGGCCCTTAAGCAAGACCCCATTTGCTCCAGGGATCTTCTCCCCCTGCTGTCTCATTTGTACCTCATTTCGGATAGAAGTGTCGGCTAAATAAATATAAATAAATTAAAGCAATGAAATAGTCAGGGCCTCCCTATATGTCAGCTGAGGGGCAGTCAGCTCTGCCCTTCAGACAGCTTAGCCTTGGATCTCTACACTCTCTTACATGTAACCCTGTACACAAGATTCATGTGAGTCAGTAACATCTAAGATTAACTCAGCCCTATCTTCTCTACTCATGATCGCAAGTTGTTTAATCTGACAACCCATTTCTTCCATCTGTAGAATAAATGTTCACCTTTGCTGTATTAGCCATGTAGTTTCCCTTTGGATGAGAGCTCCTACAAACAGACTAAGTATAATCCGTTTGCGGATTCCACCTCCTACGTACAGATGGACCTGATTGTGGACTCTGAGAGCGGAAGGGCCTCCTCTACTGACATCCTAAACTGTGCCGACAGCCTGAACACCAGGAAGATGAAGAAGAAGGAGACTGAGTTGCTTCTTACTAGGCTGGTGCGGGATAAGTGGCTGAATGAGGTACTAACCGCAGTGAGAGCAGCAGTCCTCATCTGCCGTGACGCGCTGCTCATTTTAATCACCTGTGTGTTTTAGAGAATAAGTGTATGTTTCACTTACGACCCTAGAAACATGGCGAATACACCCTGAGTACCCGCTGTATTATGGAGATGGAGCAGTATATTCAGAAGATCTACCAGGACATGGTGAAGACATGTGCCATATGTCACAATGTCGTGTTTCAGGTAAACGGCTGATTGTTTTAACTTGAATATTACATCCAGGTATTTAAACAGCAGAACCCCTCCCCCCATAATATTAAATATTGAATATTGAAAACATGACAGAAACAGTAACAATATGCCTAAAGGTTAGGCTTAACTGATTTAAAGCAAAATAATGAAAAAAAAAATGCATCTCAAAACGCGTATTAGCTTATTTGATAATTTAAGTATTGTTAATAGGACTAAATGGAACATAATCGTTTAACAATGTTTTGATCTTAAACATCCCAGCAACGTATGTGTTACTGTAATTAATTACTAATAATTAATTACAGCTTGTTAGAACGTAGGGGATCTGATTCTGTTTTTGTATGTTGTAATCCTTCTGGTCTTGGTGCATGTCTAGTACCAGCCAGATAAGTTTTCTTTAAAGTAAATAACTTTACAGTAAATGCCCTTATCTGATTGGGGGGGGGGGGGGGGTGTAGCCTCTCCCAGTCCATCACAGGGCACCGTGGACTGGTGTGCACCGTGGACGGGATGCTAGAATCAAAAACATAAGTAAACAACTAACCTCCACACTCAGATCTGAGGGCAGGAATTGATCCTATGCTAGGCCCAACGGAGGGGTGGAACCAAGGGGAATTTGGTTTTTTCCTGATGTATGAGCATTAGGACCAACTGGAAGTGTTCGGTGGGAACCTTAGGCACAGTGCTAGTGAGAACAGAGTGGGAGATAAGACCTGCCACTGCATGTCGGCCAGCATATTCACAGTCGCGTCACACATCGGGAGGGGCATCTGACGGCATCACGCTGTGTCCCTTCACGCCCTCCAGAGTCAGATGTGTGACAACATGTCCTGTGGGATTAAGATGCACATTCCCTGCGTTGCGAAATACTTCAAGGGCCGCAGTGATCCTCAGTGCCCAGTGTGTAATGCGTTCTGGCCCCACGAGATTCCAGGTAAGCACGCCGTTCCGCTGCCTGGGGCCCAGATCGAGTGCACATTGTTCGGGCACGCAGAAATGATTAGATCAAGGGTAACAGCTAAAGAACGAAAGCATGAGTTTAGTGCCAATCTAATATTCAGCATGTCCCTTAGTTGTAGTCATGAGATTTCACACACTAGACCGGTCCTTTATTCATTTTTCAGTGCTTACTGCTAGAAAAATAAACCATCATGTCGAGGCAAAAAGGCCACAATACTTTGTGTAATGCTGAATTTATGGTTACTGTGACTCCTTATAAGGGCTAAGCATGTTGGTATTAATGTTTGATAAAGAATTTAAAGGTTGATGACAATACCGGTATTTACGGTGAGCTGGTTTGTACATATGCATACATATGCATGTCCGATGTTAATGTCGACATCACGTTATGCGCATGCAATTAGCATATGACAGGTACCCTGATATTCCACTGGGCTGAGATCATTAAGTAAGGGATAATGTACAGGCAGCCGGTAGTTATCGCAGAAATAAGCCCCGACAGTGTGATCAGGACCCGACGCGAAGCGGAGGCATTAGTAGGCATTTCCAGTCGGTGGAATCTGCTGCTCTGGCGGAATCTTACTGCTGTATGCAAGTGCCAGCATGAGAACGTGAAGAAATGTGGTCTGTCTGCCAAAGTTCCTGTGCTCGACTATGCGTATACTGTAATGGCATGAGGACAAGAACTAGGCTTAAGAATCATAAAATGTTTATTTTGAACAGAATTCAGCATCATTACTAGAAATAACTGTAGTTACTGCTGAGGATTGACTCTGGCATGTATTTGTGATTTAGAGATCAGGGATACAGCTCAGGTGCCTTTGGAGATGGAGAACACTGCTCCAACACCTTCAACTTCGCATTCTCGTCGGAGAAGATAGCGCTTCACATTTGCCTCCTGCATATCTAACAGCAGCTTTATCTCGTCATTAGCTCATGGTTGTCATATCTGAACTAGCTCTGAACCCTACTGTTTTTCCATTTGTATATATTAGTTCCTCACTGATGCCAGATAAACATTGGAAGTGTTCCACTTCCAATGGAACACTAGACAAGCAAATGGAGGAAGGAGACTGTCACCATTTCTCGACGTTTCCTTTGCATTTTTGTACTTTGTTGAAACTGTACTTTTTTTAAAGCTTGGTTTTAATAAAAGACTGTTCGCATGAACATTACTTGTAGTTCAGTTGATTATTTAAATGTATTGAATTGCTGATCTGAATATGGAATATTTATATTGGGTTACACCTATTAAGTTTCCAGCACTTTGCATGAGGCTTTCCTGGGTTATTCTACAGCAACCAAACACATTACTGTTCTGAAGCATGGGAGGCTTCTTGTAGATGCATGCTGCTGTTCGCTAGATCTTTCCCACTTCCCAAGAAAGACATGAGGTGAACTGCTCAACTGCTGATGTTCTGCAAAGGCCTGCTGTTGATGGTAGGGGCCACAAATGAGGGGTGTGCTAATTTAACAAGAAAAATGTTGCTGGAAGTGTTAAAAATTCAACGATATAAACAAGCAGACATGATGTATGTACTCCTCCAGCTGGAGCTGGAGATTTTAAGAAAAAAATACATATTGTACAAAGAGACTGACTTAACTATTCCTGGAATTCACAGCTTCAGTAGTTTGCCCAGGAGATGGTATTGCACTTGATGTCAGCACCACCAAAAGCTGACGGAGAAGCTGAGCTGGAGGGAGCGGACGTAGTGCCAGTGACGAGCGGGGATGAAGAGCATGTCCCCAGGCTGCAGCAGGCACTCCTGGTAGGGGACCTCTCCAAACAGCGGGTAGCGCTCATTGTCTGGACTCTCCACATCCACCTGGGCATGGGCCGACCGGTGGGTAGCCCGTTAGCAAAGATGACATGATTTACTAATCGCTGGGGGGAATTCTTTCACATACAGCAATGAGGCGTACAGTTACAAAGGAGAGAGAAAAGCACAAACTTGGTACAATGAATACAAGAAATGAGGATACAGCCACTGTTGTATAGAATAATGATGGATGCTACTGGTATGCACAGCTATTTTATTTTCTTTATATTACAGGTGAAAATATTTCTCTATTTTACTTACTGTTAGGGGTCTAAAGCACTTTTCTTTTCTGCTACTGGACATAGGAAATTGCCCCCACAGGGACCAATAAGGTACTATCATCTTGATAATGATCCTATAAAAAATGGAATGGTTTGATGAACTAGGAAAACGAGACTGATGTGGGACATGGTGGTATGGGACAGTGATATGGGATGCAGTGGTGTAGGAAACAGTTGTGTTGTGGAACAGTGATGTGGGATGCAGTGATATGGGACATGGTGATTGGGGACAGTGATATGGGATGTGGTCATTTGAGGTATGATATGGGATATTGTGATGTGGGACGTGATGATAAAAGGCATGATATGGGAAGCGGTGACATGAAGCGCCTTGTGGGATACGTCATTTTGGACTGCTAAGGGATGGTAATGTGGGACAGTAATATGAGATAGTGATATGGAACGCGGTGAGGGACATTGATATGGGAGAGTGCTAAATGGTGATGCAGGACAGTAACGTGGGACACTGATGCGGGACATGGTGATGTGAAATAGTCATGCGGGACAGTGATATGAGGTGGTGATGTGGAATGCGGTCCAGAGCCCCGTGTACCTGGCTGGTGTTGTGCAGTAGCTGAGACTGATGAGCGTAGAGCTTCCTGCTGTCCTCAGGAGAGTACAGCCGGATGTACTTGCTTCCCACCACCTGTCATAGGGGGTTGACAGAGGTAGCCAGTGAGATCTGGCTAATGCGCTGCATTGCTTCTGTTGCATCCAGGCGTCAGTCCAACCTGAGCCAGAAGGTTGTGCTGGGGATCATGGTGTAGAGGGGAGATGGTCCCCGCCGGGCCGAACCAGGCGTTGATTGTGATGTCATCCTCATCTCCCTCCCCGAGACAGCAGTAGTCAGGGATATGGATATCAGCCTTCAGTTCGGGGACCTCAAAATGACTTGTAGCCATTAGTCTTTGACCTCTAGCCCTGTGTGTGTGGTATGTTCTGGTTTTGTTTGGATGGGTTTCCTCCCATAAGACAAGAACTTATGTGACTCTGAATTACCCATAGTCTTTGACTGTGTGCATATGTGCTCTGCGATAGACCAGCGTATCTGGACTGTCAGAAGACGATGCTTGTCCAGCACTGCAGAGATATTACTGTAAAGTTACAGTTGAGTTGTGGATGGGTCTTATATATGTTTGTGTATTTGTTTGTTTAAGCTAGACTAAGAGTTTTTCCAAGGGAAGTGCTTCAGAGTTTGGCCAAAATGGACAAAGCACAAGCCCAGCATAGATGCAAGAAGCAGGCAGTCCTGAGGCAACCTGAGCTTCCATCAGCTCTGCAGGCATGGCACTGCTGCTGCTCAAAGCATCCACTGACCTCATGGGAAATTGTGGCTATGAAGTGGATGACTGTGTATTCACCCTATTCTAAACATCCACTGTTTTTTTTTTTGGATGAGCTTTCAGCTGGGTGTTTATATCAGAGTGAATTTGTAGAGTGATGGAAGCCTGATATTACCCCTAATGGAAAGTTCTAGAAGACCCTGGAGACAATAGATCTTAGACAACCCGAGGAATAATGCTTGTTTGTGACTGCAGATCTCGAGCTAGACTCCAGTTACAGAATGACAAATGTCTTCATACCCAGCTGAAAATAATTCATCCCAAAAAATGGGGAGTAACTTCATAGTGTCATTATGTAATTACCCAGCTAGTAAAGTCAAACCTGATCGAAGAGCTGATGCTGGGCCAGGTACCCGACACCATCTCCTTCCTCCTGAGAATGAGAAAGATACATCTCTCAGATCGGTCAGGCAAGGATGTTGTCACGAAACTTCTATCTGGATCTAAGCTGGGCTTACCTTTCCAAGTATGTAGCGGTCTATGAAGGCGCTTACGGTGATGAGCCGCTGTGACCAGTCCTCATCTGTGTACCGGGAGCCCACTTCAACTGGGACAGTGCGACAGCCTGCTACCCTGCGCAGGTACTCTATGCTGGGAGACAGAATCAGAATCCAAGTCAGGGTTACTGGCTAAATATGGCTACACATATACAGCGTGCTTGTGTGGTTGATTTGGAAATTTACAGAAAGTACAAGTGTGCATTTCAGTTCAAGGAATGTTGGAATAAACACAATATGTACAGTACAACAAGTACAGTTATTTAGAATGGTGAGGTGTTGTGGGGTTCTGTAAAGTCCAAAGGTGTTGTGGTGGTTCTGTAAAATCCAAAGGTGTTGTGGGGTTCTGTAAAGTCCAAAGGTGTTGTGGTGGTTCTGTAAAGTCCACTACTGGGCACCCATCTGTTAACATTTAAGGCCATCCACAACCTTGCCCATCCATATCTGTCCAACCTCCTACAAATTGACACTCCCTCTCGCACCCTCAGATCCTCGTCCGCCATCCATTTCACTATCCCCCTCGCCCATCTTTCCACCATGGGGAGCCGAGCTTTCAGTCACTCAGCAGCTCGGCTCTGGAACTCATTACCATCTGAGCTCAGAAACATTGACTCACTTCCACTCTTCAAATCGAAACTTAAAACCCATCTGTTCCAGCTGGTTTTCTCTCTGTGAATTCAGTTGCTTTGTCTAATTTAACCTATGTTTTATATTCCTGTGTTTTTAGTATTATGGTTTTATTATTTATATTGTTCTTTGGCATTCACTGTACGGTGTCCTTGAGTGTCTAGAAAGGCACCTATAAATAAAATGTATTATTATTTTTTATTATTAAAGGTTTTCCTTTCAAATTTTCAGTTCTGATGCTACAGTTAAGACCATAGTATCAGCTCAAGCTATTTAAAGGATTATGCAGTAACACAAAAACGTTTCTTTAACAAATATATTTCTTATACTGTTATTTTACTATATTACCTATTACTAACAAGTGCTAAGTAAGTAGTTAGAGAACTGATGTATGTACCCAATTATCTGCCAATTATGTCTACAAGCTAACATGATTGTCATACTGCAGGAAAGGCTCTCTTACTGTAGAACGTTTTGACTACCAAAATAATTGATTAGGACTGTGCGATACATCGTACGCTTACGCAATAGTCACATTGTATTTCTTGGCACTGCTTTGTGTGTCACAGCAACACCACCAACTAATTTGAAATACTACTGGTATATTATAAAGTTTAATTTGCCTATAATTTATTTCAGGTAATTATTTATTTCAGGTGTTTAACAAAGGCTTCCTATGAGTGAGTGTAGGTGTGCACACATCTAAACTTTCCTCCACAACCTTAGGGTGTCAAAAGGCATTCACACGTCTCAAGACAGAGCGGTAATGGCAGGGGGATTTTACTGGGTTAAGAAAAACACAGGTTCTTAAAGCAGAAGCATGGGAAAGCCGGTTGCCGCCGAGCGTAAGGCCGAGTTGCCGATACAGGGAAACCCCGTCCACCTTGTGAAAACAATCCCACCGGATTGGTCGATCCAAGTTCCGGTTTCACCTTGGCAACCTGAAACACACATAACTGGCAACATCCAACCACCACAATACCACACACACCTTCCTCTTTATGTTTTGGAACGTAACCATTTTAAAAAAATATCACAGTTACTTGTGGAAATTTCACATTTTGCGATGTGTTGTTGTGCAGCCATAGTTATTGTTGTTAAGTATCAGGAGGGACAAAATATAAGGGGGGGGGGGGGGGTGACTGAAATTCGCAGATAACCAGCCCTTTCTCTCAAATCGGCTCTGCACTGACCTGTGGATATCTGGATATGCCCTGAAGTTCGACAAGTAGATATTTATTTTAAATATTATTTTTGTGTTATTGCTGTTTTCTACTCATTGGAAAGAATTTTTAAAAAAATTCATAAATTTACATGCTGATGGCACTGTGCTTGACTCGTAAGACTTTGATTTCTGATTTCTGTCTTCATGATACAGAAAGAGTCCATACATTACTGCACCTACTGGGCACCCATCTTATAAAGCGCAGGGAGGGGGTGTGGCCATTTTGGGGTGCAGTCAGGGGAAGATACACCAACAAGCTGAAAGTAGCCCAACAGGTCCAAGGCCTTCTTATTGGCTAGTCATTGTGTTATTCCTGTGCAGCCCATTCTATGTCCCTCCACATAAATAGGTCATTAGTCTATGTCCCACGTCACAATCTGCCATGATTTTGGCAAACACTCCTGTCTAACTCTATGGTAAAGCCTTACCTCCATTTGTGGTCATTAAATGCAGGCCAGTGGTCTATGGCACCCTCTAAGATCACTGGCTTCTCCTGATTCAGGTAATCCATCCGGAAGCGATCTAAGGGCAGACACTTTGTCCTGGGGACTTCCTTAGCTGGACTGATTGCAGGTACAGAAACGCAGCTCTCCTTCAGTCTCTGTTATAGACATATGAAAGATCTGCAATCTACTGTATGCATGTCTGAAATTAATCCAGTAACAAGGTCATTTCTAAGAGGTAGAATTCCCTCCTACAATCCCACAAGGAAACTGTCACATCGGTAGGCAAGATATGAAAAATCATGAAAGATGATGGATAAATGCATGCTCTTTAAAACATGTAAAAGGCATTCAAAAGACCTTTGTAAGAATTACTACTTGAGCACACACTTTTCTGAAATTACAATGACATTAGAGAATAGAAACACCCCTAAACTATTTCTAAAGAAAATGGCTCATATGTGAAGAGTTCCACTGATGCACAGAACTGGAATGTACAGACTCATTTCCATTACAAAAAAAAAAAGACAATTTCCCAACGGGAACAATAAAAGTATCAATCATTTGGCTGCAACTGAATATATGCGGCACTGTGGGAGGGGGGAGAGGTTCACTTATCGAATGACTAAGCATTAGAACAGCAAAGACTTGTAATTTTTTATGTGGTGTGATAGTTGCTGCCAAAGGAGGAGGAGGTTCCAGCATCTCAAACAAGCACCGCCCCCCGCCCCCCCACCCCACAGGGACTTTAACACTGCGAGGTTCACAGAGAATGGTGTGATGATCATAAAAGATTAATTTGGGGGCAGTTTTGTGACTAAGGAGCATTTGTAATGAGAGGTCAGACAAAGGCCAGACTCATCAAAGCTAGAGTAAAGGCTACAAGTGCAAAACAACACTCACTACAACAGTGGCATACAGAAAGGCTTCTCACACACAACTCAACAACCCAACTGCTTCTGGGGGGAAAAGTGAGTCCTAACCTTCACCAGCTAGGTGTACCTGCTATGGAGAGGCACCAAACTAGGTGGCCGAGTGCATAAACAATGGTTGAAAAAAGCAGCAAATGACTGAGCTATGCATGTCAAAACATTAAGGACGTCCATAAGAAAATGTGCCAATCAGGACGCACCTTTGCACCGGGCCCCTCGGCAGCGCCTGCCTGCTCCGAACAGCCCCTCCTCAGCCTGCCCTGCAGGATCCCCACCATCGTCTGAAGCACATCCTCCATGATGGCGGCCCCCATCAGCAGGCCCATGTCGCATGTCCTGATGGCCTCGCAGACCTCCGCCTCGCCGGGCTCCGCACAGCACAGTGCCGCCACCTTGAACAGGCAGCCGTAGGCGTACACCCTCCGCCACTCCTTGTCCACATCCCTCCAGGTCCCGATGTTGAGCTTCTCCCAAGAGAAGTCCAGGATGGTCTGGGCAGTGTGCTGCAGGAGAGAGGTGCCCTCGGAGCCATAGAGCTGCAGCCTGGCCTGCTCCAGCACCTTCACCACACTGCGCTCCACCTTCTCACTGAAGTGCAGAGGAAAGTCTGCCTCGGTCGGAGGCAGAGCTGCTCGGATCTCCTTCCACACGCCGGCCATGATCCATAGGGCCTGCAAGATGTGAGGAGACAAAGCCTCAAAGCAAAAGCTACGGAACAGTGTCGGCACACACCAAGCTATAAGTGGCACCGGTGAGTGGCTAAAAAGCACATCAAGAGCCATTATTCGACATTCATACATTTTACATGCTTTCATACAGTAATGTTACTTAAAAAAGATACTGAGAAACCCTGTTTGTTTCACCCGATAGGTAATTGGCATGAAGACATTATACTTAATGATAATGTTTGCAGGAAGTGATCTATGGAGATATATGTAGGTAGGGTCAGGAACCTGTGGCTCAGGGATGAATTGGAGCTGAGAATTTTTAAAACAAAAAAAGCAGCTAAAATAATAATGTTGTGCGAATTAAACGTTAAACGGATATGGCAGCAATTATTTACAAATTGTAATAAAGAAATTGACCGTCTTAATCTCAGTCGGCTTCAAAGCTTAATTTTCATTGGATAATGCGGCGCGAGACGGGCCGTTGTGAGGTGAACTAACGAAATCACATATCTCCTTCCTGCTAGCTCATGAAAAACACGTCCAAAAGAAAAATAAACCATCAAGACTACCGTTCGTTCCAGTGTGAGTGGACAGAAGAGTTTGCCTTTGGGGAGAGAGCTAGTTCGGCGGTATGTTTAATATGCAATGATAGAATTGCGTCCATAAAACGGTCAAATGTAAAGCATTACGATATCTCTGGTATAACTTAGTAATTAAAATATAGGCTTAACAGTAAAAAGACTAATTAAATTGTATTAACAATGATCTGGCTCTCGAACAAAACGAAACGAAAAATAGTTGGTATTTATGGCTCTTCCATATAAAAAGGTTCCTGACTCCTGATGTAGGTCCAATTCAAGCTAGCAAGTTTAGTTTATCGACTTATTACTTTTACATATTTACAGTATCATTCAAAAGTTTGAGTACATTTGTAGAACCCAGGTTTTTAATTGTTTTTTAACTACAGATACTTGAGATTCTTCGTAATGAACGGACTGCCCAACTAGTCTAATCCTGTTGAAATGACGAGCCTTTTACGTATGCTATGGTATGGACTTAGTAAAGATCACGACACTGCCTCTTACATGCATGATAGTGGGGAAATACGTGCAGAACTGCTTTCATTTAATTTCTTCAATACTATCACTCTTTAAAAGAAAAGTGTGGTCAGTCTAAAACATCGTTAAGGTTTCAAGCAGGTATACTACAACTTTTGATTGACCCCATGGTGTGTTTACGAATGATTCTAATATTATTTCTGAATAGCAAATAATGTTTTACTGTTTTATTATACATTAGTCGCGACTATATTGCTTCCTCAAACAAGTCAGATCTTCCAAACGAAGCAAACTACATCATTAAGACGCAATCAGAGGACATGTAAGAAAGTATTCGATTACCAGTGACCCTACGCTTGCAGGACTAAAAACCACATTTCAGGCAGCCACGCTACTTTGTTACAGCCGTAACATCCTCGCTTTGCACACATAACTTCCGGGGAGTCAACCTATAAGTTCCGCTTATCGACAGAACCGCGTCTGTCAAAATAAAAGTCTCGAGCATTTTTATAATGCATATTACTTATTTGGGTTGTTGCAAAAATCACTTGATAAAAACATGGCATTGGTTCCAAAACCTTAAATCATGTATTCAGTGCATTTATGCTGTCATCGAGAGAATTGCGCCCGCGTTTTATATATCGTTTTACCCCACACAATACGATACAGGCTATATTTTGCTACTTAGGTCTGCTCAAAGTTCAAAGTTTGCAGCACAGTTTCCCTGCTCAAACGCATCTTAATCAATTAATTACCAGGTGTAGTAGGTGTGTCTCAGTAGGGAAAATTGTGTTTCAAACCAGATCAGAATTGGGCAAACCTGGTTTAAATTAAGGTGGACACCAAAGGAAAAAAATACAAAAAGTAAAATGAAAAAGAAAGCACTAACACATTAATTCAATTCAATTTTTAATATAGTGCTTTCCACAAGAGTCACCCCAAGGTGCTTCACATGGGTGTGCTGTGATACCTTACAGCACCATTAAGAACAGGGAAAAGGAAGGAGAAATGAGAGAAAGAAAGCCAGATGACGGAGGAGAGGAACCACAAACTACTTGGGGGTCCAAGGTCAACCAGCTACCCAACCCCCCTGGGCATATCGACATTAAATGTGCCATAGCTTATATCAAGAATAGAAAGTTCTGCTTTGCTGGTTAAAATTGTACCCAGGGGAAGCTACTAGTTAAGGGAAACCAGCCACCCAAAGCAGGGGTTGTGTTGTGTATTATGCACTTATAGTATAGTTATACTTTGAATAACATGTACTTAAAATGCTTGGTTGCCTAAAATTTTGCTACCAGAAGATGTGAGTATTAAGAGACAAAACTTTAGACAATAATCAACACTCGTAACCACAAGCAGTGTACAGTTAACAGGTAGTGACAGGTGGTAGTGCAAAGAGTCAGATGAATGTCAACACATTATTTTCATATGTAAGCTGTGCAGTGGGAGTACATACAGGGCTGGGCATGTATATGCTGAGCAGGTTGTAGCGGAACATTGTTCAAGCAGAGGTCTTAGGCTCTGTCCTCAGTAAGGATCTGAATGTGGCTACGCAGGGGTCTTCAGCTCTGTCCTCAGTAAGGATCTGAATGTGGCTATGCAGGGGTCTTAGGCTCTGTCCTCGGTAAGGATCTGAATGTGGCTATGCAGGGGTCTTAGGCTCTGTCCTCGGTAAGGATCTGAATGTGGCTATGCAGAGTTCTTAGGCTCTGTCCTCGGTAAGGATCTGAATGTGGCTATGCAGGGGTCTTAGGCTCTGTCCTCGGTAAGGATCTGAATGTGGCTATGCAGAGGACTTAAGCCAGGGGTGGCCAATATTATTCGCAAAGGGCTGGTGTGTATGTAGGTTTTGGGATAACCTGTAGGACAGTTGTTCAAACCCAGGTGTGAGGACTCTTCAGCCAATCAGTCCTCTAATTAGTAATATAATTAGGGAGTTGCAGCGAAAACCCGCATACACACCAGCCCTTTGCAGATAAGATTGGCCACCCCTGTCTTAGACCCTTACCGAGGACATTGCCTGAATGTGGCTATGCAGAGTTCTTAGGGTCTGTCCTCGGTAAGGATCTGAATGTGGCTATGGAGAGGTCTTAGGCCTGATTCCTTAGTTTTGTCATAGTCCATTTCAGGACCTGGTTCCTCTTTGGTTTCCCTCATGTCTCGTCTGTTCCGTCTCATTATTTCATTCCCTTCTGCTGTCTCCATCCCCATAAAATAAAATCTCTGTTTACACCTGTCCATCCCAGAGTAATGTCATTCTGCTCTTTGAGCTGTCTGGACAAAGACAAAAAAACATTTATTTCAATTATGAATTTTACTTTGCAGGAAGAGATGGGACAGTACACACATGTACTTAATTAGCAGACAGCTAGATGAGTTGCAGTCTGTGCCCTAAGTGGTCAATTCAAGCTTTCAGACTTTGTGACACTTGTCTTGCTTTGAGAAATGTGCACTTGCACTGTGCAATACTATGGCCAGCTTAGTTAGAAAACCTTCAGAGCAGTGTCTGGGTCTGGGTGAAACCTGTCCGTCATCACAAAGGGCTGCCTTTTCAGGTTTGTAATGGCTAATATAAACACTAACACAATTTCTGCAAATGGTTCATAGAACATTTGTGCTAAATTTGTTGACCGTTCCACGTTCGTTATGCCACTATGCCTGCTTGGCACTTCTGTAGTACAATGGGCATTTGATAATCGGGTGCAAACCTTCGATTAGGAAAATTATGAAAAGCAGAATTTGGACATATGGTACTGCACATTATACAAAACACTCCTTTCCCACAGACTCAGAGGTCATTCAGAAATTTCGCAACACTTCTTACTGGGTTGGGATGAAAGCAACAGCCCACAACCTCAAAAATAAGCAGAAAGGTTATCAGACAGGCAGGCAGTTTTTAAGCAGTCATTGTGGTTTGCTGGGATCCCATGTGCAGCGTAACCAGAACTTTGGGGAAGCTTTTTTTTTTTAAAAAAAAAGTTGCATAAAAACCTCTGCCTTTTATGTATGGGGAAAATAATTAGCACCGGCCTTTGAATAAGAAATTATCCCTTTTCTTGGTTCTGTAGTATGAAGCAACAACTTCAGGGTCTGAATGGTCACATGTTTGAGGATTTGATCAAATGACAATAAGGTGGCAAAGTGCAGGTGAAGTGTTAAGTTCACATCTGTGGGGAGGGGGCAACAGTGACTTCTGGATGGTCACACGTTTGAGGGTTTCATTCTTACCTCTAGCTCCATATGTAAGGAGATTGCATATTCTTAGTGTTTGCCTGGGTTTTCATTAGATACTACAGTTTCTTGCTACAGACCCTGAACAAACAAACAAATGAATAAATCATGGTGCCCATAGTGACTATGTGCCCTGTGAATGAGTTGCATTGCATCCAGATATCCCTGCTCTGTGATTCTTGGAATAGGTTCCAAGCTCTCTGCTGTCCTGTGATGGATAACTGCATGAAGGTTGTAATGGAAGAACCGCCTAAAGCTTCAGCACTTGGGTACCATTGGCTAGACTTGGAAGGTCTAGCTTTATGAGAGATTTTCAGTCATATTCTACAGTTGCTCTGCCTCTGTACATTTCTGTTGGCTTCTGTTATTATGTTGTTGTGACACAATAAGTCATAGGTGACACTTGGGTGACCAGTGTACTGAGTTACTGTGGTAATTTTTGAGTATGTCCTGACTCATATCGATAGGAGGACACCTATCGGTCATTTACCTTTGGGATTATTTGTGCCAGCTAGTTATTTAGCAATTATTGAGTTATGCTGGATTGAGTCGCATCCGATCGCATTTACGTCCGATATCCATAGTAAATAATATACACCGATCGAGGGATGACAGAAAAAGTACATAGTACTTGGACGTTAGCAGGTTTATTGATTAATGTAACGAGTGCAGGAGAATGGGCAGTACTGCCAGCCGTATAATGACTCACTGTCCACATCTAACTTGTAATACGTGATATGTGAGTGATAGCTACAATATCGAGAGATGCCAAAAAGTTGACTTGCATCTGATGGTCCTGGTCCCAAATGCAAGTAGATTCACATCTGTGGCAAGCATATACGTTATGCAAAGTTGTATATAATTTATGGCACTTTTGTACCAGGTTATACACAGAGAGAAACCTTAATAAGAAAATGCAGACTAATTTAGTGCAACAATATTAAAGCGCACGTTGAACAAAGGAAGCCACCTCTTCATACATAGCATAAGGAACTGAAAGGGATCCCACAGAACTCCTACTCCCCCTTGTGGCACTGTTTTTGTTGACACCAAGCCCTCTACCAAGGTGATTTCAGAAAACAAGCGTCAACTTTAACGTAAACATTTAACGCTTTCATCTAGTGCTGTCCCAAACGATTATTCTTTAAACGATTAATCTAGTGATTATTAGTATTATTATTTTTCGATTATTCGACTAATCTAACAACTAATTTTTCGATTGATCTGATGATAAATTTATTGATAAGCAATTATTTTCAAGTTAGTCATTTAATTATTAGTTAGTCAATTCACCTTCTCCCCCCCACACACAAATCTGAAATTCTCATTAAGATTCCAATTTATTAAAACATTTCTTAAACAGTAGAGCATTATTAACAAAAAAGGCAAATCTTAATTAGATATTCAATAGGATTTCTATGTTAGACTTAAGTTAATAATCACTGCAATAGTTTTTACTTAATTATTTCAGTAAACCAGTTTGACTTTAATGTTGAAATAGATGATAAAACATGGAATGATTTCATAACTAGAGAAACATGTTTTTTTAACAAATTACACTAGCAAAGGTATCTTATAGTCAAGCTTACTTCAGTGAGCAAGGAACGATTTAGGCTACAGTGTGTGAAGAGTAGTCGTAAACGATAATTTGTCTCACTTTTACATGACAGAATAACTAAACAAAAAAATACAAAACGGCTGAAACAGCGTCATTAACGTCAGCTACAGTAGAGGTGCAGAAAAGGTGTCATGACGGAATTATTCCCAAACTTTGGAAGACCGCGTGCCAGTCTTTTTTGCCGCGTGTTTCTCCAGAGACTCCGGAGCTCTGCTGGTAGACGCAGCCATGTCGCCTTGTGTGTGGGGGGCAGGAAGCAAATTTCCTTTTTACAGGGTGATAGGAGATGTCTCATTAATATTTATGAAAGAAGTGCTACATGATTGGCCAGTGCATGCTTACAAAATAGTGCGGCACCGCTGGCACCGGCGATATTAGACAAAACTATATCGGAATTCAGTTTATAATTGATATAGTTTTAACGATGCCAGCAGTGTAACTACTAGCCAGCTTATTAGCGGAATAACTTTGTATTGTAAATGAAAACCTTGCCGCAGGTCTAATAAATAAAATATTGTAACTCTCGAGTGGCAAAAAGATCATCAGGTGGACGGTAAAGTTCAGTTATTAGCAGACTGTTTTATTGCGCGATTTTTAAAAGGACAATGTTAACGTGCTCTCGAGGGGATAAAGTACTTTACCTTACAATTGGTTTAGCTTATCACTCAGTGCATTGTAGTTACAAAACATTTAGGCCTACGTAGTTTTACACAAAAATTCCACGTGGGCCATTTTTATAATCGACATAGTCGATTACGTCGAATAATCGCCACAGCCCTACTTTCATCATCACAATTAGCATGGGTTAAAAGACGTGAAGTTGCAAAGTTTCATTTCTCAATGGTGTGAGTTTGACATG